CCCATCATCAAGTGTATCAAGCTCAAGTACCAGCTCCCGCCAAAGTCATTTCCAACCCGATTGAGGAGGACGAACAGGCTGCTGGGGAATTGCCAACGCCCCGTACTCATCCCGCGCAAATGCAGCCACGAACCACAGCAGCCTCTCCAAACTGCATCCAAAGAAGAGTCCGCCAAAGACTTCGATCGATGGCTTCAAACGATCCCGGCGCTTAGTCTTGTCGTGTACTCTGACGGCTCTCTGTCCCCCAGCGGCCGCGGGACGCGGATATGCTGTTCATCAAATCAGACGCTCTGTTTGCCAAGGCGCAGGACGCCTCGGCCCTGCGGAGGTGTTCGACGCTGAGGCTAAAGGAGCGCTGGAGGGCCTCAAAGCCACTCTTAGGCTTCCCCAGTCTGCCACACAACGAATAGTGGTATGCCTCGACAACATCGCGGCTGCCAAATGCCTCCAGGGCAAGCCATCAGACTCCTCGCAGAGGGTCTTCCTGACCTTTCAGGCCCTAGCAAAGACGCACCGAAAGACCGAAGTCCGCTGGATCATACCTGGGCGTTTGAGTTAACTCAAAAGCGAACTCATGAGTTAACTCATGACTCAAACTCAGAAAACTCATGTGAGTTGAGTCTGAGTTACGACCAGAAACTCATGAGTTAACTCATTAACTCATACCCACAGTTCATGGCATGTCATTGGTTCATTTTTACGCTCCAATCTCTCGGACGAGTCGGACCCCTGCGATGACGTGAGGCTTCTCGCGCCGGACTTTCTATCGTACCCAGAAACTAGCGGTCATCTGCCCTATCGACACTTTTCAACGGGCCTAAAGGTTCGTCACAACGAGTAGGCGACCTTTCTGTCCACAACTTCATCCATATTTATGGACAAAATCACTTACCAAGTACTTCACGACATCACGTGACCATTTTTGTGAGTTAACTCATGAGTCTGGGTTAAACTCATGAGTGAGTTACGACTTGACGGTAACTCATATGAGTGAGTTAAGAGGGCCGAAACTCATGAGTTAACTCAAATGCCCAGGTATGCCAATCGATCCAATCTAGGGGTCGAGTTGGTTGAGTTGGTTGGAAGGACACCCTGGATGCATGATTCGGCACTGTTCGTTAGGGTTTGTGCATTCGGCCCTTTTTGCGGGTCAGGTGGTGTGGGTTATAAGACGAAAGGCGGAGCCAGTTGGGTTCCAGAGTGTAATTCAGCCGTAGACTGACTTTTACATTAATCGAATATGTTTTCCCAAATATGAGGGTTTGGTGCGGACAGGGATCAATTAACTTTCTGGCATCTTATTGGTTTATGTTTTCTAAAACGTAACTCAACTGGATGACGACCATCGAAAAAATGGGTCCAATTTTCGCAGCTGCCCCTGATTGTGTTACACAGCTATCTTGAACATCACGAATCGCCAGCACAACCCGCCATATGCAGTTGCTTTCATTTGCAATGAGCCCTATGCCTCATCGAGGGCCTCAAGGTGGCGTAGTTTCCATCGTGTGTATCCCCTTGCTTTTGTTACAGTAGCTATTAAAACAGGGGTTGTACTGTATGCTTGGCTCATAGTGAAATACCTACTAGTTTACTGTAATCTACTGTATAGAAGGAATGTCGGTTACAGTTTGCCCAGGATCACTTAAAGTAGGGTTAAAATGAAGCGTCATGCGATCAACCAAAGATGATAGTATATTGACGCGCTTTGATTCAAGGGAAACAGTTCTCTAATGTTATTAATACGTGGACATGAGCCCTGCAAGACGTTTCGCAATCATTTGCAATTTCCTTTTCATTCTATCCATTTGTCGACAAGTATTTGGCACGTTTTATTTCTGTCATGTATTTTTTCACCCTTTTCATTGCCATATTAATGGCAAATATTGTCAAATCAAGCGCAATACATGCACGCCATAATGAATCACTACTTGAGTGCGCAGAAGAAGCGCCAAGCCCAGAGTTTCTGCAATTTTCCAAGTTACTGCAATCCCCTAATTCTTCCCTTACACGACGCCAATCACAGCAGGATTTCAACTTTAACGTGTTTGCTCATGTTGTATACTATGATAAGACTGCCCGAGGCGGTTATGTAGAGGTACGTTTCAAGTTTCTTTAGATTGTATACTATTTTATGCTAAACTGCATTACAGGAGACGGATATTAAAAACGCAATAGAAGCTATGAATGGGAATTTTGACGGCTCTGGAATCTCATTTACTCTTGTTAATGTTAGCTACACGGAAAATCAAAATTGGGCTACCCTCCAAGACGTCGAAGCAATGAAAAACGAACTACGCGAGGGAACATACGCAGACTTGAACCTTTATTACGTATCAACCATCGCAGAAGATGCGGAACGAAAGACATATACCGTTGGTAGATGTACCAGACCAATAACGTTTTTTATTAACGGGAAGCCGCTGCTGGACATCACAACTCTCAATGAGGCTGTGGTGTCGGAAGAGAACTTAATAGACGATGGGTGCCTAATTATTGCTCGGGAGGTCAATACAGTCACTGCTACCCACGAGGTCGGTCACTGGCTAGGTTTATTTCACACTTGGCAAGGCGGTTGCAGCGACGATGGAGATATGATTGACGACACCGCTCCTCAAGAATCTCCAACAGAGCGTTGCTCTGCAGTCAGACAGCGCTTTTCTGATGGCAGGCCTGCCAATTACGCCTGTGGCGGCTGGAGAGAAAGCAATATGTATAACTTTATGGATTACTCGTGAGTTATTCTTGCACTACAACGGGATGACAATGGCGTTTCTAACTCCTTGACTAGGGACTGCAGTTCAACATTTACTGGGGGCCAGAAGAAACGCATGGCATATTGGGCAGGGTATCGTGAAATACTCGGGGCTCGCGGGCCAACTCATCATCCATCTCGTCCGGCGGCTCCAGCTCCAGCTTCAGCGCCGCCTAGCGACGAAAACCAGGGCAATACACAGCGACTGTCCTGGTTCAAACCCAATATATTTGAACAGGATGGGGGGCGTAAGCTCTGTACTGGTCTCGCCAACTTTAAGCTATCTGGCTCTAATTCTCTCAATGCCGACCTTATCGACAGGGCTTGTGGGACGGAGATGTTTTGCAAGTTTATTCAATGGGATTGGCAGGGGCTAGGTCCTCAGACACTAAGAGAAAGGCTTGGCTTTGAAAGCTACGACGAATGCATAGCTGGTCACGAGGCAGAGCCCCCAGCCAAGGTCTAGTCGATAGCTCGGTTTGCACCAGACCCTTGGCTCCGTCCAGCGGCAGAGATCAACGGCATCTAGCCCTCGTTTACACATTCTCTAGCTATATGACCATAATCTCCGCAACTATAACATTTAGGTCCTGTTTTATCCACCCGCTTAACGTTCGACTTCCTTCCACCACTCGCTTTTCCTGCTTTTGTTCCAAGTCCATCTTGTCTGCGGTCTCTCCCTTTTGCGTCGTCGGCGGTTGAGGATTGGTTTCTTTTGCTCGTTAGTTCTTCTCTGGGTTCTTGTTACCTGACCGAGACCGATTCTGTTAGTCCCTACTGTCCAGTCGTGATCCGATAGTCAACAGAAGTTTCGCGTACTCATTGAACGTCGTAGGGATATGTTAGATTCTCAGGGACTACAAAATATGAAGGCTGGCCAACCACCTGAATTTATTCAGGTAGCTGGGGAGCAAAGATAAAAGACCTCATCTCTTCAAGTTAGACAACAGGAGAGAACAGACAAGAATACATCTCAATTTTTCATCTCCATAATAGTGCCACCGTATTTCTAACAATTTTGTATGGGCAATCGCCAAAGCAGGCTGGATTCGTTGATGAGCCTAGAAAGGTGGGTATACATCAGCCATCATGTGTCGCTGCTTCCTTGTTTACTTCTTTGTTTACCATCGCCAAAATTGCCTGGCGATCTGTTAGTTTGCTTGGCCAAGCAGCCCTTCTTCGATTATTGAAGCTGATGCACCGTGGTATCGGATGTGGAGAACAGTTCTAGGTTAGTATTAGCCCTGCGCCTGGTTTGGGAGTCCATTGCCCGTCTTGCAGCCAAACAAAGCCTGGAAGTGACTTCATCAGCAGGAGGAAATCTACCAATCCAACTACAACCTGACTGAAATTGTGATGGAATCATGTGACCTCATTGCTTAATGAATGTCTCACTTCATTGTGTAAATAACTTTAGAGTTCTCCTGAGTTCTCCTGTCCTCCTTGTGAACGATAGCTTTATCCAAGTCGCACTTGACCTTGTTCGTGCTCTTGTACCGTCACACTTGACTCCGCTTCCCATGTCCGCAAGGACGCCCGTAGGGCGAAACAGGCGAGCGCGGAGACAGCAATGGATGATGAATATTCTAGGTACTGCGCTGAGGATATTGTCAACAGTCAGTATTACAGGAGCAGACCAGTCGATTAGTGGAAACCAACGCCTATCGCTACCCTCGGTTATCCAATATGGCTGTTGATATCAGACATGGCTATATGAATATTCAAATAAGACCTTATATGAATATGCATGAATATATTCATATTCACACTCATATATTGCGTGAATATGAATATGTACTTAAGATTTCATATTCATGCATATTCATATATATTCATATAAGCCAGAGGGGGGGCTGTCACACCACTGGTTTGCAACCGGCAGGTGTGGCGGTGCCAGCCAGCCGACTGCGAGCCGAGTCTCGGGACCTACAGTACTTGGACCAGTCTGGTGTTGTTTAATGAGCTAATTTCGCTTAATTCCGCGTTGTTAGGTTGCCGAGCGCCAACCTTAGAACGCGGTCTCGAGCTTGCTCTCCTTTCATTCTTCCTTAAGTCTAGATGGACAGTGCGAAGGCATTTGCTTGTTGAAGCAAACAACAGTGAGGCCTTCCGCGAGGGTTCCGATTGTTTCGATGAAAAACTAACAAAGAGGCTCGATCTTAAAGCAATCAATGTATTCCATGGATTAACTGATCTGGTGCTCATTAACATCTATGGCTTCTCAGGCTTCTGGGACCTCAGTCTCAAACTCTTCTAGCTCATTTGCATCGAAGCTTTCTTGGAATTTCAACACCTTTTTCGCTATAGAATATCCCGATAAACACCTCCAACTTGAGACTGGCCCGAAGCGCAGGAAGACCAAGGGGCACCGTGCTTACGTTTGCCTTCACTGTCAAAAACCACCGTGGTCGAATCGAGTGCCTGGAAACGCCATACACCATGAAGAAACGGTTCACCGGGCCCTTGTGAGGGCAAGCGAGGCTGAGCCTGGCCCTCCATCTAGCCCATTAGTCTCGGGCATTTCGTTTGTTGATATTGATCGTTATATCGTCTCTCGTCCTTCGCAAGCTGCTCTGCGCAACTGTTTTAATAAGCAAGCCTATATTGAGGCAGTTGTAGGACTTCTCACAAGGCGAAGACTGCCCTTTTCGGCGGTTGAGTACTCTGAGCTGCGAGACCTGGCTCTTGCATGTAATCCAGCCGTCGGAGACCTTCTCATCACCGATCGAAAGCAGGCTATGGGCTATATTAACTCGAACTACTCGTTATACAGCTCACGGCTCGCCGAGAGCCTTCAACGATGGCAGTCAAAAATACACATCTCCTCCGATCTCTGGACATCGCCACATCGCAAAGGCGTGCTTGCTATATGCGCTCAATGGGTCGATGACGACTTCAAGCTTCAGAAAGCACTACTGGGACTGCCAGAGTGCAGATATAGCCATTCTGGCGCTGCGCAGGCTACGTTGATTGCTGGTACGCTACGGAAGTTCAATATTTCTGCTCCCAATCTCGGCTATTATATAGGCGATAATGCAGCGTCAAATGACACTTGTTTAGAGGAGCTAGCAAAGGTCTTAAAGGCGGAACCAGGTGTAAGTTTAACCCTAACCTGAAGAGACTTCGTCGCAAATGCTTCTGTAGCCCCATACTAAATTTACTGAATTATGCCTTAGGTCAATTACCCTCACAAACGCCGCAGAATTCGCTGTATTGGCCATATCATCAATCTCGCCTTACAAGCATTCCTTCTAGCTCGCTCAAAAGAAGCTCTGAGAGCTGCACTCGAGGCTACTGCTGATGAGCCCGGTTCGACTATGCTAGAGGAGTTCTCGCAGCAACTACATGAGCTGGGTCCGGCGCAGATTTTGGAACAATCCCATACCACGGCGCAGCAAGAACAACAGCTGGAAGAGCGGGAGGAGCAGCCCGCCAGAAGGTCAATAAAGGTGAGAGGCAAGCGAGCCGCTACAACTCATCAGCAGGCCGGAAACAACGATGAGCGCTTCGCTGGCTGGCAAGGCATTCCAGCCCTAGCAAAACTTCATGCACTTGCAGTCTATATACGTAGCTCCGCTCTACACAATGATCAGTGGTACGATGCTGTAGGCAAGCAACTAGGTATCGATAATATCACCAGATGGTCCTCGTGGTATAAAGTTATCACAATCGCGGTACAGAAGAAGGCACAGATCATCCAGTTTACTGCTGATCATGATAGTGATCTCGAAGGCAATACCCTTACAAGCAGGGATTGGCAAATGCTAGAAAGAACGCTAGAATTTCTTCAACCTTTCCATGAGGCCACGTTAGAAGCTGAGGGCGATATGGCCTCAATCTCACAATCCCTCGAGCTGTTCGACCTTCTCCTAGGGCACTGCGAAAAGTGGAAGGTATATGGCTAATTTTGTCCATCCTCCCATTTTATCTCTAGTTGATACGGCATTCTAATCAGCTAATTAGACTCACTACTCGCAGCCGATTAATCGCGATGATCGCATCGTCCATTCCATCGATATGTGCTGGTTTATACTTGACAAGTATTACACAATGACTGAGGATGTCCCCGTATACGCCGCAGCCCTCCTCCTCGATCCTTCTAAACGCAAGAGCTATATAGAAGAATGCTGGCCCGAGGAATGGCACGAGGACGCGTTTGCGGCCGCGCGCAGTCTCTGGGAGGAAGAGTACAATCACGATGTCGAGGTACAGCTCTCGGAGCACTCCTTGGCTGCACCTGTTTTATTAAAGCGAAAAAAGGATACAATGCTTTCGAAGATGCGCTTAGAGCTGCGAAACAAGACGATGGCGAAAGCACGCGGCAAGGATGATTTCGATAGCTTTATCTCAGAGGCTCCTATCGCACTCGCAGAGGGTGTTACGCCCCTTCAATGGTGGTGTAGTGACGACGTTCGTACGGCATACCCACGGCTTAGCCGTATGGCTATCGACATCCTGTCCATACCAGCGGAGTCAGCAGAGCCAGAGCGGAGCTTTTCGGGAGCTAGACGCACAGCTAGATGGGATAGGTTACGGTTGCTGATTGACAGCATTGAGAAGATTGAGTGCATCGGCAACTGGTTGCGAGAGGGACATATTAAACCCTCTGCCGAGGGTGGGATAGGCTTACCCTGCGACCCAGAGGTCATAGAGGGTGATATATGATAGCTGTTACGACCCAGTCATATGCAGGACGCAGGCTGCAGGTTGGGCCGGCTGCAGGAGCCACGGGACGGCACAGGCAGGGCGGACAACGGATTAATGGTCGGAGCGACCGTCACATTTGGATCGTGGAAGGAACCGTGATCCGTGTAAGCAGGATCACGGTCACAACAGCGATCCAGAAGTAAGCATCACGACGGAGGAAGTGATCCCTCATAGTATATAGGGACCCCCAAATTCGCTTCATAGATAGACTCTAGCTCCTTAGCTTTCAACACAGATCATTACATTGACCTAAGCTTCGCTTACAACTCTTTGACTCTGATCACTTGGTTACGGTCTACGACCTATTACCAACGTAACACCCAACTGCTCAGATTGACTGCCCTAGTGGCTCTGCCAACATAAACTACGACCTAGTTTATCCCTTGGGAACCTAGCGTTACACGTCGAAGACTCCTATTGGACCTTCCGTGCAACAGTCGTTACAATAGCGTGCATGTCAAATGGGAGCATTTCAGAGGCCCCAAGCTATACTATGGCGTGACATCACGTGAGCTCTTACCTTATATGAATATGCATGAATATGTTATATGAATATGTATTTTGATGGACAAGTTGAATATAATATGAATATAAGAAAATGGGCGTGCATATTCATATAGCCATGCCTGGTTGATATGCTCAGCATCTCCTCATCGTCTGAGGAGAGCGAGAGGACGTTTAGTAATGCAGGACTGATGGCGTCGCCGTTGGGAGGCAGACTGGCCAGGGAGACAGTGGCTATGGCTCAGTGTATCCGCTCATGGAGTAAGGCTGGGATCTACACGCCTTCGCTGCCTTTATTTGACCTAAGTGATGATGAATGGGTTGGTGTATTGGCGTCGCTGAAGAACGGCAGCGACTCCTGATCTATAGTCCCTATTTTTCAATAAATTGATTATCCTCCGCAATACCGCTTGGCGCATGTTGTAATGGGCTGGGCAAAGCTAGGCTTAGGCACTAATGCAACCATATGAAGACGCTCTCCAGCCTCGTGTTCTATGTTTAACTTCAGGAAACTTGTAAAAAGAGCCTTGGCAGAGTACTGTCTGATATACATGTCACGAATCACGATAGTTTGTGGCCTCCATTTTGACAGGTATTAATGATTGTTCGACCGGATTCGAATCCAATCACACATGACCGCACACCAGTCGAACGCCGGGTCGAATCGAGTAGCACCACCGGGCATTCGATACGATAGATTCGTAAGATGTTGTTAGAAATACGGTGGCACTAATATGGAGATAACATGTTGTGATGTATTCTTGTCTGTTCTGTCCCGTCTAACTTGAAGAGATGAGGTTTTTTATCCTTAATCCCAACCACCTGAATGAATTCAGGTGGTTGGCCAGACTGAATATTTTGTCGGTCACCGAGAATCTAACAGATGTCTATCCCTGCTACCAATTCTTAGCGCATATGCCCATGTCTGGTATCAGAATGCCAGCATTGCGGTATTCACTTAGACATGGCATGCTGTTTCACCGTCGTTGGCTATTTGCTACCGAAGAAAGAGGTCTCGAAGGAGCCATGCAACTGCCGAATTATACAGAAGATGGCATTTTTTTTAATCATGCCCCCAAATGTACTATATTTAACGCATAAACCCAGTGGATGTGGCAATGTTATAACGAATCCTAGCGCGTCCCATTTTAATTATCTTGGCTGATGACTTTGACTCGCAGTATTATGCCTCTGACAACGGGTGGGGTGTATGAAAATTCTAGTTATCCGTTATAGATACACGAAAGCTAGGATTGGTAAGCAGATCGACTGCTTGTCATGCTCTGCGGTGAACTGGTACCCCTCAAGGTTGCTAGCAAAGACCTGCCTGTTTGTCAACATGTGGCGATCAACCGGAAAGGCTTTTCAACTCTGTCGGAAAGGTCATGTATCTCATGTTTCTATTTCACTCTGGTACCGTAAGAGATGGGAGTTACTGTAACATTCTAGCCATTGTGGCGAGATTCACCTAGTCCGCTACATTGTGTGTGTGTCCGTGGATCATGTCCATCACAGCCTCAAATGCCGTTTGACCTTGAGTCATCAAAGGCTAGACGACTCTAGGAGTAATCTGTGATCGAGCCCAGGTCAGACTGCTGGTGTCGGATAAATTCCTTCAGGCAAGAGGACAATGCGTCGGAATTGGCACAAGACGGCTAGGTCATTATTTCGGCACCCTGGATGGCTGACTTATCGCCTTAACTTTATTCAGGACTAGCGATGCAGGCGGCGACTGGTCATGATAGAAGGCTGCCAAGCCTATGCATGTAGTGATTTGTGGCTGCGGCATTCGATGTTTCTCCGTGTGGGATGCAGCGCAGTCTAATTAAAGTAGGGGCAGCTGAGTACCAATAAACGGAAACCGGCATGCTAAACCGGCATGCTCGACGGGGCCGACGTTTGACCAATGGGAGCTTGGAGATACCGGCTAATACTCCCTTTCGGGTAGTTTTGACAAAAACGGAAAGGTCATCTGCGACTGGTACCTTACTTATGGCTAACGGAGGCCGACCTATCATGCTTCGTAGTCTTGAGAGGTACTTGTGCAAATGGGGGCTGACAGATTCAATCTGCAGCTATGATAAGCTTCAGCCCTTTTACGAGGATATATGCGATCTATATGATGAAGGTGTCTCAATTCGAGATATTCTGGCTAATATTAATTATCAGCTTCAATTGAACAACAGCTCAACGATCAGCGAGCAAACCTCATACGTTCAGCTTAAACGCTGGTGTGGGAAGCGCAAGGCTTCTATCGGGTGATAATTATCACAGGCACAAACGGCTACGCGCTTGTGATCATGATCTTGTTCTTGCTTGTTCAATCTATCTAGCTATGGATAACGCATGCCTGAAGAGGTGTTGAGGCCTCCTCACGTGAGGTCTGTTTCAGCCACTGTTTGGAGTTAACCCCTGGCTGCTGGCTCCGCCGCTCAAGACGGCGGTGGAAGCAACAAGTACTTAATGAGCACTAGCACTCGTCCTGCGTGGGGCTGAGCTACCCGGCACTAGAATTTGGGAAGATCGTTTGCGATGTTTTATCAACCTAATCAACCTAATCAACTCAACGTCATCATTATGTTGAGTGGGTTGGCCAGTGCGAATGTGTTACGTTGAGTTTGGTTGGGTTGATTGACATCAACCAGGTTGACAACCTCATAATTGACGTTGAGTTGATCGCCACCCTGGCGGTGGTCCTTGTTTTTTTTTCTCTCAAAATAACTAACTACAGGATGTATGACGTGACAAATGTGAACCCTTCATGAAAAGTCACCTGATCGCTCCCAGATCACAGGATGAATTGCCAGCTTATCCAACTCCAATCAATCCTGGGTTCTGGTTGGCCGGATCCAACCAATCCCTTCTTTGAAAATTTCCAATCGGTCCAATCTAGGGGTCGAGTTGGTTGAGTTGATGTAAGGACATCTTTGAGCGCTATTTTTATCCCTGAAACCAGTCAAGTGGTATTTATGTTTTAGCTAAAGAGAAGAGCAAACTAAGGACAGAGAAGATAAAATATTGAAAAGCGAGTGAGCCAAGGTGTTAGACTTCCATAACAGGCCGATACCTTGGAAAGCTAACACCCTATTCCCATAAGTAGTGGTCACGAAATTGTTGCGTCAAGCTGGTTCTAAGATAGATCACATGTCCACATGGTCCACATCTCGTTTCCTGCCCAGCCGCATCCAATCTTGGTGAATTTAAGCGGTGTTCCGTCTTCCAGTTTGGCTTGATCGGCAAGAATGTCCGCATGTCCAGTCTGCGGACGTCCATATTCGTCAAGATAACTCCACCCTTTTGTGAAGTTTTTCCATACTGTTTTGTTTTGAAAAAGGTCTTCTCGCTCGGCAAGCCAGCCACCCACAAACACCTTGTCGAACTCTTCCTCCTTGCCCGGTGCCATGACCTGTCCCAAGGTGCCAGGGTACGTTATGTGATCAAGGATTCCATTACTATTCGTACTGCATCTAAGAGCATTTTTTGCCAGACGAGGATCGTATTCGAGTGTCCGTAATTTCAGATTGCTAAGCCACTTGTTGATAGTTGCCATATAGGGAGGATCGTTGCTATCAGACGGGACCTCGGTAGCTGATGGGATGGGTGCACGTGTGGACGTGATGAATGAAACAGGAGGAACTCCAAAACTGGGGGTGGCGGTTGCTGCAGCAGAGACGGCAGGCTCTATTTGCGTAGCCATGGGCTGGCTGGGCTTGTCCAATGCACTAGTGGTGCTGCTTGGTTTCTGCTGTGGTGTATCATCGTCAAGAATACAAAGGTCCTCGTCGTCAGTAGAATTATCAGGTAGATTAGTACCTTCAGGCTGATGACTGGCGGTTGCTGGAGCAGAGACAGTAGGCTGGACATGTGTAGCCACGGGCTGGCTGGTCTTGTCCAATGCACTGGTGGCCTTGCTTGGTTTCTGGCGGGGCCCATCCCATGCTGGGTTCGGAGGTGGTCCGTCCCAACTCGGATCGTGATCTTTTCCCTGCCAGCTGGGATGACTATCTAATCCCTGCCAGCTGTCATCATAATCTTTTCCGTTCAAATTCAGGTCAGCTGGTGTGCGCCGATTTGGATCAATTTTAGTGCGTTCGGCCGGCGGACCTCGAGAGCTAGCACTGACAAGGGGCAGCGCGGCAACAAGAAGAGAAACTCGCATGTTGAAGAGAATTTCAAATACGAAGGAGTGTCAGATATAAAGGAGTGTCAGATATGTGAAAGAGAGAAGAATTGTTGCAGGTAAATTGAGAGTGAGTAGATTGGAACGGGGTGCCGGACTAAATATATTTGAGACTTTAGTGGGCATTTAGTATTTTCTTCTACACATATTGAAATCCTTGGAAGACAGCATACTTAATACTCACTTGGTCTATCTTAGCTGAAGGCGTAGTTTATCCCTGCTACTCGCTTATCAAACCTGGAAATTACGCATAATCTTTATCTATATTGCCGATGCTAGTTCCGTGTTGTCTGCGGAGGCACGTGTAGCTGTAAGGAATTCTCGAATTTTCATAACTCCACATATAACTTGGAGATTCATGCGACTGAATCATTTGCCCTGTAGTCCTCGAAGGAATGCGTGTTAACCACTTCATCAGGGAAATGGGCAAAATAACCCGCACACTCAGAACGCCAACCCATATGAATGAGTGTGCGGACTAATTTTCTCTCCAATTGTTAATGGAATCTCGACCTCAATTGAAGTATGGCCCGAGTTTAATGACTCCGCAAAGAAATCACTCAGGTTTGTCAGCTACCAACTGCCCGGATTCAAGGCTAAAGTGGAGCGGATTGTGTGGATAAACACCCTGAAATTTCAATGCTTCAAACCGTTGGGTCTGCATTTCAGTTTTTTTCCTGTTTTCGGCTTCTAGACTCTCCCAGAAAATCTGGCTACTAGCCATAATCGGCATATTGTCGCGCCATTTTGCCAGGGATCGCATGAATAATTTGAGAGGCTGAGCCACTGTTTGTTCAACATACGGGTGCTGTACAATTGCCTATCTAAAGCTGAGGAAGGAAGGACTCGCCTCGAGCTTGCGACCATATGGTTGCGCGTGGCAACTTAGGCGAAATGAATTTAATTTACACAAATCGGACTGGGTCTGGCGCGTAGCCCGTGACCATGCACTAGCATCTAGCAGAACGGATCAGGTCCCTCTATAAAGCTTCCTAGCTGCAATAGCTAGTCATAATAAGAAGCATCTAATATTCACTTATCTTGCCCATCTAAATAATAACAATAGTATCCTTTTATAAAGTATAATAAAGCAGTAAAATACAGAGCCCAGGCCACGAGACATCGCACGTATTACAAGGAGGCAACTAGGTAAGTCACGCGAAGATACCAAAAGCGCTGTTCGGGATCGAACCTAGCCTCCTTATAAACCCAACGGATAAGCGCTTTCCACAGTTATACTTTAAAGCTTTAGAATAATTCCGAGACTTTAATTATCGGGGAAAACAATTCGATCAGGATCCTGCGGGGGACGTGGGTTGAAATTGATGGGTTTCTTATTCAAATTAAAAGGCGAAGGACCCGTAGTAATTGGTGGAGAATCATCACTTCCACCCACCTTCAAGAAACCAAGGTTACTATTAGTAAATTTTTACTTGTTTAAAATGAAGACCTACAATCGGGACAGCGAGAGCAAAGCCGCCAAGCGAAATAGTAAGAAGTGCAGAGAGCAGCTGCATGTTGAATTTTGTAATAATGTGTAGAGTCGAAATAAGTAACAAGAGTTATGTTTAAACTTTGTTGTAAATAGATAGAACATGGAGAGTATTTAGTCCTTATATAGATTTTTAGAAACCCATGCTTACTCCCTAATAGAGCGCAAATGACTAACACCACTATAATATGAATGACTGGCAATGCATTTAGTATAACCAGCATTGCAATGAAAAATACATACTACTATATTAAACATGACTTGTATTGCTTCGCACACTATTTGGAGCTGAATCGTGTAGAGCCCCATACGCGAATCGTTGTCAGAGACCAATCGTGAGGGACCAACCTATGGACCTGAAAGCGAAACATGGCCAACCTACCAGACGAATCGCTTACGCCGTGTGTCACGGTTGGCAGCTAGGGATCGCATTTAATGTGGACTTGGTCCTTTGTTGAATCTATCTATCGAGGCAATTGAGGCCTTTGTTAGATTTGGAGATCGAAAGACATGGAAAAGTCCACCTTTCAATTGAACAGAAAGGCTGTAGCTAGTTCGTTTTAATTTGAACCTTCTAGATGACGAGGCCCGGCTAGATGACTCTTTTGATGACGTGTTTTAGATGACGTAGTCGTTGACACGGTGCTAGTGGTGTGGGCTTTCCCTCTTAATATAATTGGTATAGAAATTTTATCAGGGAACTCATGCACAGGCATAATACTTTTACTACCCGGGCATGACTCGTATCCGAGCATCACTTTTGCTAACGCAGAGGTTGCTAGGAGCCGCTATACTGGCAATTAATGGTAGAGGCCTGTCGCGTTATGAGATGCGTAT